CCCATATGTACCCCTCCATCCCTCCCCATACACAGCCCTCCATCCATCCCTCCCCATACACACCTCTAGCCATCTGTCCATCCCCATACACACCCATCTACCTATCTCCATTCACATACCTCTATCTATCCATCTATCGATTTATCTATTTATTTCAGGAGCTAAAAGAAACTCAACCCAAAACCAAGTGACCCAACAAGCCAGGAAAATACTCACGAAAATGAAAATCTACCCAAATGGTATTAATGATGACGTAGTCATAATAAATAATGATTCATAATAAATAATAATTGGACAAAGGTTAAACCTCTGGAAAACAAACTCGACTCACTTTGCGTCTTTGTATAAACACAATTTTTTTAAAGGGCAGCATGAGGCAGGAATCCAATTAAAAATAAATAATAAAAAAACTCACCGAGCAGGAAAAGGGAATTTTAATGAGCTGATGTTTTAATATAAACAAGGTTTGACAAACAGAAATACCAAACCAAGCAGAGAAATGGGAGGGACGGGGATGATGGGGGGAGGGGAGGCTAAAACAGCACCATCTGACCTCACTGCCTTCACACCCCCCCCATCGCATACTGTACCCCACTTCCAAAGCCTTTGTCTGTAATTAAATATTAGCATTCAGCAAATAAGTGTGGGTCGAGCCGGGGGGAGGGGCGTGGAATCAGGATTCCTGGGTTCTATTCCTGGCTCTGGGAAAAAGCATTTGTCTAGTGGTCTGAGCAAAGAATTAGGGCTCAGGACACCTGGATTCTATACCAGCGCTGGAAGGACCCAGTGTCTAGTAATGGGTAAGGGATTGGGAGTCAGGACTCCTGGGTTCCATTCCCAGCTCTGGAAGAGGAGCGGGGTCTCGTGGTTAGAGCAGGGCAGCCTGGGGACCAGGAATCCTGGGTTCACTCCCCAGATCTGGGCAGGAAGTGGGGCCTAGTGGTTAGAGCAGGGGCCGGGAGGCAGGTTCTATTCCGAGCTCTGGGAGAGGAGTGATATCTAGTGGTTAGAGCAGGTGGGCAGGGCTCCCAGGATCTAGTCCCAGCTCTGGGAAGGGAGCGGGGTCTAGTGGTTGGAGCGAGGTGCAATAAATCAGGCCAGCTGGGCTCTAGCCCCGGCTTTGAAACTAACCTGCTGTTTGACTGGGCGTCCGGGGGGGGGGGGGGGGAATTTCACCTTTCACGCTCCCTTCGGGTCCTGTTGCTGCCAGGGAAGGTCTCCAAGGAGCCTGGAGAAAGCAGATTCCAAAACAACCGGCCTGCTCTGCGGAGTGCAGGGGGAGCTGCCCGTTCACGTCACTGGCTCTTCCCAGGTGTGCAAGGAGCCAGCCCTTGGAAGCCAGAAACTCAGGCCCAAACCCTCCACTGAGGGCAAGCGGCATCATCTGATTCACACCAGCTGGAGATCTGGCCTCACTGACTCCCGATTACACAGCTGGGGATGCAGCCCAGGCTCTGGAGGGCCCTGTCTCTTTAAGTGAATACAAATAACGCCCTAATATTTGTCTTCAAACAGACCGTCGCGTGGCACGGGCCATCCTGCACCTCGAAGCCAAGGCTCTCAAAGAATTAAGGGCCAAGTCCCCAGTCAATGAGGCCACTTGCAATGCCTTGATGGAGAAAGCCACTTTCTTACCTCCAAGGGGAAAATGGCGTAACCACGGTCACCCAGTGGGTCAGTGGCAGAAGTCGGAACTGAACCCAGGAGTCCTGACTCCCAGGCCCTGCTCGACAGACAGATGCCTGAAAGCCTGTTCTCTGGGCAGCACAAGTGCTCGTGGGGACCATGCCTGGCTAGCCGCCAAAGCTCTGTACAAAGACAGAGCAAGGTTATTAGCCCTACTTTTCAGATGGGGAAACTGAGGCATGGAGTGGGTGGGGGTAGAGAGACTTGCCCAAGGTCACGCAGAGCTAGGAAAGACAACCAGAAGGCCCGGCTCTGAAGCACCCCTGCTCAAACCACTGGACCCCACTCCTCTCCCAGTACTGGGAATAGAACCCAGGAGTCCTGGCTCCACCACTAGACCCCACTCCCCTGCCCAAGCTGGGGATAAAACCCAGGAGGCCTGACTGCCAGCCCACCCAGTTCTAACCACTAGACACCACTGCCCCCACCCCTGAGCTGGGGCTAGAATCCAGGAGTCCTGACTCTGCCATCCTGCCCAGCAGAGCCCGCTGCCAGAGGGGGCCAGGGGAGAAGTGGGCAGCCGAGAAAGGCCCTAGTCCCGAGTGGAAAGTCCAGGCAGCCAGTGGCCATGAGTGCCATGCTGCTGGTGGGAGCATGGGGATGGGGTTATAAAAGATTCCCGCATGATGCATGGGTCACCCGGACAGCAGGTGGAGGACACAGTCAGGGT